GCAACCACGGCTTCTGCTGCAAAGGAGGAAACAGAAAGCTGGGGGGCTTGGCCCGCAGCACTCCCCCAAAACCCCCGCTGTAAGTTGGATACCCCCACCCCCCCGCTGTCAAGCCCTCACCTTAGCAAAGTTTGGTTCAGGTGGAAATCAGGATGGACAGTGGTTTTGAATGGTTTCTATCATTTGAACTAGATGGTAATCATTTCAACTCTTAAGAGCACAGTTTAATCCTGGCTTGCTCCCACCACATGTAGCTTAAGCAGGCCACAATTCTTGGAGTTCAGAGATGACAAGAAAGCCGGCTCCCTTTGCTTGAAACCAGACGGGGGGGCAGGAGTCTGAGACTGATTCCCCACCCCCAGGAACTGAAGTCCCAGCTCTGTGGGGAGGGGAGGCCGCTCCAGCGTCTGGTCTCCCAGGCTGACAGTTTATTGATTTAGAGCGAAATGAGCTATTAAAAATCACCCTCAGAGACCAAGGCTTGACACGACCAAATAAAAAATAGCAGCTGTTTGGCCCATCAGTTGGAATGCTTACAAACACTGTTCACCTCCTTTCTGCATGTGTTAGTTTCCCATGCACTGGACTACATTTCCCATCGTTCACAGTCAGCTGCATTCCCAAACTTGCTTATTCTGTGCAATACTTTGCAACGGGGCAGCCTTAGCACGAGGCCTGCAGCGCAGAGCTCCGACTCATACGAATGCCCAAGTGCCCCCCTACCTTTTTTCCTGTCCTGGGGGGGCCGTGCTCCTGAGGGACGGGCAGTGGAGGCCGGGGGGCCGGGCAGTCGGAAAGAGCCCTCCCGTGCAAAACTGGTGCGGCTGGCATCGAACGAGGCGGTCACCCCGCATTCCTTCTCTCGCTTCTGCTTGCGTTCCAGGCAGGCAGCAAAGGCGCAGCCCACGGCGTGGCTCAGGCGTTCCCCCTGGGATGGAGGGGGAGGATGGTGGGCAAAGCAAGTGGCCGTGGTGCTCTGCCGGGGGCCGGGCAGGAAGAAGGTCCCCGTGTGGCAAATGGGCCCTGCCCAGCTCTCTCCCGTGGGCCTTCCAAAAAAGGTGAGGAAGGCGGACGGAAGAGCAACAGAAGGACGGAGCTGTGGTGGAGGGGGGCACTCCACCCTCCACGCCGTGACACCCTGATTCAGTTTCCCCATCAACTGACAAGCCAACATTTGAAAAGAACGGGGAAAATGCCTGCCCAAAGATCTGCAAGATTGCTCCCAGTCCCAGAGGACCCCGCCTTGTGGCTGGGGCTCCCTGAAACATCTCAGGGCCACGTGGGCCGGATAGTCCAGCCAGGGAGTTGGGCTGGGGCAGCTCTTCTTCCAGGGCTGCCCGCCGCCCCCCGGGCAGAGGGAGAAGGCACGAGGGGCTGGGGGCTCCCTGGAGGAGCAGGAGGTGATGTAGAGCCAATCTGTGAAGTGGGGGCGTCCCTCTCTCGTGCCGGGGGCACCCCACACTCACCGAGTCCTTCAGGGCCAGGAAGCTATGGCAGATCCAGCGGCGGGTGGTGGCCGCCCCGCCCAAAAAGGGAAAAGGGGTTTTACAAATGTGGCTCGCGGGAAAGAAAGAAGACATCTTTACAGTGGGGGGGTTATA